TTGAAATCTTCCATCAGAACAGTTGCCTGTACAAAGGTTTTTTTAGTGAACAGCAACAGTAACATTGACCAAGACAAACTCGATGGTCTGATCTGATTTCATAGAGCAAGCTTTCTGCCTATGGCGTTTTCAGCACTCCCATATGGGAGAGAGAGATTTACTCACAAATCACAGAGAAGCTGCATTGTGTTGGCTGCTGCTAGTTAAACTTACAGGGATTTTCACTACTATTATGAATGGCACACTGTGCACTACGTATGGCCCTTTCAGCTCTGTGATTCTATGATTCTAGTTAGCCACCTGTCCTGACAGTATCCATCCCTGCCCTTTTAGCCTAATATTACTTGCTAAAATGTCTCAAACCAATGGGAGCAAGTCAGTCATCTTCATCTCCCCCTGCCCTCTTAAGCCTGGTCCTCAGAAATTCATTAACCAGCTCCCTTGCACTGGCCTTCTGCAACAGTCCTGCACAGCTTGTAACTTGCCAAGCTGAACACAGTACACTGTCCATGTGCAATTGCTCGCCAAACACTTGGCAACTCTGCCTTGTAGCCCCAGATAAGCAGCAGATACAGGAAACAGATTGTATCAAAATCCTTCAGAGATAAGAACTAGCTGAAAAGCCAAAGAAATGAAACTGACCTTTGAGGTTTTTCAAGAAGGGTTGATGGTGTATTGTGTTAGTGTAGTGGTTAGGAGCACTGACTCTAATTGGGGAGAACCGGGTTTGATTACCCACTTCTCCACATGCAGCTACTGATGTGACCTTGGGTCAGTTATAAGTTCTTTCAGAGCTGTTCTCTCAAGGGCAGTTCTTGAGTGAGCTCTCTCAGCCCCATCTACCTCACAGGGTGTCTGTCGTGGGGAGGGGAAGGGAAAGGGGATTGTAAGCCACTCTGAGACTCCTTCAGGTAGTGAAGGGCGGGGTATAAGTCCGATCTCCTCCTCCGCCTTTCCCACTCATCCACATGCAGCTGCTGGGTGATCTTGGGCAAGCTATAATTCTCTCAGAGCTGTTCTCGCAGGAGCAGTTCTGTCAGAGCTCTCTCAGCCCCACCTACCTCACAGGGTGTCTGTTGTGGGGAGAGGAAGGGAAGGAGATTGTAAGCTGCTCTGAGACTCCGAGTGAAGGTGGGGTATAAATCCAATCTCTTCTTCTTCCAATAGGTTCTCAGGGGCCACAGGAAGGCATTCTGTGAGCAGAGTCCTGCTTAGAATTCTTTGGATCCAACCCAATATTTTTAATGGGAAACATATAATCAAATAACAGTAATTAAAAGCATTTATAGGTGGCACTGGAGGCTGGATATTTAGTAGGTAGCAGTGTTAGGTACAATGATTTTTGTGTTCTTGTTGCAGGAAGTCACTGGGTTCAGACAACACTGATGGATTCCAGAAAGTACATTTCATTACAATTGTATCAGCAAACAATTTTCATGGTATCAGAGAGTTTGGAAGACCCACAAGCAGAACCATCCACTTACTCTCCACGAGTAGATCAAGATAAGCAACTGAGATCACACTGGGGCACAAGCTGAGAATAGATGTATTTCAGGAAAATGCTCACAGGGCAAACAGCATACCATCCCCCTGATAAGCACCTTCATCTTCCCCTTGACCAAGATATACAAGCTATAATTACGAAACAATCCTTTAAACAAAGTCTTGGAGAAACCATCAATTTTTCCATTTTAAAAAGTATTTTTCAAAAGGGAGCTGATTTCTTAGTTGATGTATTGACTTTTAGAACACCTTTTGTTTGGGTAAAGTGGATATTTTAACATTTAGACAATAGGACCAAAATGTTTCAGGAAATCAGAACCATGTATGTTTACCTCCTCAGCATCCTAAGAATTTTAAGAATCTGAGCTATCCCTACAGAGAAAAAGGTTAACTGATTCTTACAAAAAGTGTCCGTCTCTCTCGTGTTTGAATCTGCTCCTTTGTATCATGAATACGAACACCTTTTCCTCATTTAAGTTATGAGTGTAGATTACTGGAATCCCAGATGGCAGGTGTGTGACAGCAGTGCTTGTGAGCACAGCACAGATTTTCCTGAGAAGGGAAGCTACAGAATATGGTTCATCAGAACAGTCTCACAGAGGGAAATGCTTGCAGCAGCCCAAGAAATTTCAGTGTCTTTGCATTTGGAAGAAGTTTGGTCAGGAGGAATTCAAGAAGAGAGTATACTGAAAACGGTGGAAGAAGGAAACAGGATCCTTTTGTCTGGGCTACCTGATAGAAGAAGAGCTGCTGTTGTGTGCTCTTGTGTTCTTCTTAAGTAATTTCACATATGTAGCCGTTCAACTGAATATCTTACACAAACAGTACCATCTGGAGAACCAGTCTGGTGTAGAGGTTAGAGTCACACTAAGATCTGGGAGATGCACGTTCCAATCTCCACTTTGCCATGGAAGTTTGCCAGGTGACATTGTTCCAGTCACACACTCTTCCGCTTAACCTACCTCACAGGTTCTTATGAGGATAAAATGGCGTAGGGGAGAATGATGTAAACAGCCTTAGATGCTTACTGGGGAGAAAGGTGGGGTATTTATAGGGTTGCCAACTCCAGGTTGGAAAATTCCTGGAGATTGGGGTGGAGTCTTAGGACAGCATGGTTTGGGGAGGGGAGAGACCTCCGTAGGGTATAGTACCATAGAGTCCACCCTCCAGAGCAGCCATTTCCTCCTGGGAAACTGATCTCTATAGTCTGGAGAGGAACTATAATTCTGGGAGATCTCCAGGACTCACCTGGAGGTCGGCAACCTTAGGTATAAACAGGTAAATCGATAAACAAGATCCTCAGCACAGTTATATACTTCTGAACCCATTGAATACTAGGGTGCAACTCTTCTGCAGATGGCACTGGAAAAGCCTCAGGTTCATATTTATATTTGTGTAAAAGTAGCAGCATGTGGACCAGAAGTGTTATGTATGCTTTGGATCGTACCTCATCTGCCCTTTACTTATTCTGCTTTTCCAACTGTTACTCATTCTGTTGACAACTTGGCATGTGACCCAAGATACAAGACAAGGTTATGTTTAACTTTGGGCAGACGGGGTATTGGGGTAGAAAACACTGAAAAGGACTTGAGGTATTTAAATACTTAGCAACTCTACAAATGGCACACCTTCAATCAGGAGTGGGTTTGGAAGTGAAAATGGCCCTGGGACCAACCAAGCTGAGCGGTCCCTGCGGGGCTATAAGACAGAACTGCAGGGGCCACAGTTGACCCGTGCCTGCAATGGGCATTAGCTCACCCATTGCTTCCCCCTTCAAGCGGACAGCAGCACAAGAGGAGATAGCTGGTGAGCTGGTACCAGTTACTGTTGCCAGTGGTCTGAGCCAAGTGGCCCCTGAGACATTGGCAGCGGTTGCTGGAGCTTGGCTGTGCTTGCTCCTGGCCACTAGCAGCCCCTTAGGGCAGTGGCCCACCAAGAAATTTCCCTCTAATCCTGTGGAACTCATTTCACAGCTTGTGGAGAGTCACAATCACAACTACCATCATTTACTACATTTACCTAAACATAAGAACATATGAGAAGCCAATGTTGGATCAGGCCAATGGCCCATCGAGTCCAACACTCTGTCACACAGTGGCCAAAAATACCAGACGCCATCAGGAGGCCCACCAGGGGGCCAGGGCGTTAGAAGCCCTCCCACTGTTGCCCCCCCCCCCAGCACCAAGAATACAGAGCATCACTTGCCCCAGCCTGAGAGTTCCTATCTATACCTTGTGGCTAATAGCTACTGATGGACCTCTGCTCCATATGCTTATCTAATTCCCTCTTGAAGCTGTCCATGGTTGTAGCTGCCGCCACCTCCTGTGACAGTGAATTCCATGTGTTAATCACTCTTCGGTTAAGTACTTCTTTTATCTGTTCTAACCCAACTGCTCAGCAATTTCATTGAATGCCCACGATTTCTTGTATTGTGAGAAAGAGAGAAAAGTACTTCTTTCTCAACCTGCTCTATCCCATGCATAATCTTGTAAACCTCGATCATGTCACCCCTCTGCCGTTGTTTCTCCAAGCTAAAGAGCCCCAAGCATTTTAACCTTTCTTCATAAGGAAAGTGTTCCAACCCTTTTCTCATTCTAGTTGCCCCTTTCTGTACTTTTTGCAATGCTATAATATCCTTTCTGAAGTGCAGTAACCAGAATTGCACCCAGTATTCCAAATGAGGTCGCACCATCGGTTTATACAGGGGCATTATGATACTGGCTGATTTGTTTTCAATTCCCTTCCTAATAATCCCCAGCATAGTGTTGGCCTTTTTTATTGCAGTCGCACACTGTCTCGACATTCACATTGATTTATCTACTACGACTCCAAGATCTTTCTCTTGGTCAGTCTCCACCAGTTCGGAACCCATCAACGTGTATTTATAGCTATGATTTTTTGCCCCAATGTGCATCACTTTGCACTTGGCCACACTGAACCCAATTTGCCAGGCTGACGCCCACTCGCCCATCCTTGACAGGTCCCTTTGGAGTGCCTCACAATCCTCCCTGGTTCTCACCACCCTGAACAGCTTCGTGCCATCTGCAAATTTAGCCACTTCACTGCTTACTCCCAACTTCCATCCCTGGCATGAAGACTGAACCTTGGGGAGGCCTGCAGTTTACCCATTCCTCTGACAGCAACTGTTTCAGGGTGGGGACCATCTGCCAACCACAAGCCCCAGCATGCAAGGGCCTTGCCCACTATCCTGGAACATGGGACAGGTGCCACACTGAGAGAAAGTGTGCAGAAGAGCCACAATTAGCATGTTAAAGAGGCACGTGTGGCTCCTGAGCCCCCAAGTGAGTATCACTTCTCTGGCCAGTCTGTCCTGTCTTCATTTCTCTGATCAGTTATAATAAACAAATGAGTACATATCAAGACATCTCTATCTATTAAATGGACTCTACCATGTTTTATTAAAACAGCCTTAAGCATATTGGTTAATTAAAAATTAGTACACAGTTGATTGAATATGTGCATCTAAGTTAGGGGGTTCAAATCTGAGTCCACTGTAAGGAGTTACATTTACCAAAAAATATTCCTTCTTGTTAATTGTCCAGTTACAGTACACAGCATTCTGCTACACAGCTGCATATAGTGCTTTTACTGCAAAAGAAAATACAGATATAAAAACCAGGGGTGGGGGAGGGGGCTGAACTTTTTTAAAAGTTGGAATGACTAGAGATGAGTGTCTGCTATGGGTATTCTTCTAAGCTCTACGATCTGGGAGGTAACCATGCTGCCCCCATCCTGGCTGCCATGGCAGGAGTCGGTATCGCTGAGAGTGAGGCCTGCACCTGAAAGACAGAAGAACACACAAGACGTCATTTGGGAGGGCTGCAAGCAGGAAAAGCAGCCTATCCTCTGCAGAGCAAACCTGTCCCTCTTCGTTTTATTTCAATATTCACTCTCTTGCTCCCATTACAAAAGTGGCTTCCCATTCCTGGCCCAGATTTCTGTATCTCTAGACTGCTCTTAAAAACCAAACGGGTTCTCTGGGCTTGCCTCTGAGATTCTTTCATTTTGCAGCACCTTCCTATATGATGTTTTAAGGCTTGGGTTGATTTTGTGATATGTTGTACGCTGCTGAATGAAGTGAAGTGATAGGTAGGACTCCCGGGTTATCTGTTCCCGAATTTAAACAATTTTTAACTTGAATGAACTAGGCTGGCTTGCCCCAAACAGCCCTGTAGACTGCAGTTTTATGAATCTGTTTCAGGATTCTTTATTAAGAGTCGAGCCCTTCACAGGGTTCCTTGACTGAGGGACTCTTAGCAATTAAGCAGGCATGAAAATGTTTTTTAAAATTGTTGTGTAAAATGCCCTAGTTCTTCCTTATTCCAGAACGAACAGAGGAAACAGCACTTGTTCTTTGTCTGCATGAGAGTTTGCCTTTGATGAGGACAATACTCTCTTCCTGTTTAGCTCTTTGGTGCAACATCACACCCGCTTTCATGCAAAGAGTCTCCCCTGTTGTACCTCCTTGGAACCCTGCAGTCTTTGATGAGCACACGACATGTAATGCACACAAAACCTCCAGGATGTGAAAAGGAGATTAAGCATTATCGTTCCTCCTTCTGATTCTTCCCAGACTCCTTCCTCTCTTTACCCTCCAGGAGATTTGTGCCTGTAAGGAAAACTCCTGTGCAAAGGGCAGGGCCTCAAGGGATCTCATCAGTGTTTACACAATGCAAGTGGCAATGCCCTGAGATAGTCCGGTTGCCTGGAGGGAACTTGGCCATGGCCTGCACCTTTCACCAAGAACAGGATTGGTTTGTCAAGGTAATGCCTCCTAGCATTTTCTCCACAAAGATGAAGCGCCTATCAGGACGATGACATAAGCAGCTGGAAGTGTTTATGTACAAAGAAGCAAGTGCAACAGACCTGCTTTGCCCTGCTCCCCCCCCCCTTTTGCTTCCAATTACTTCTGCAACCTGGCACAGCCATAGAACTCTTGCCAGAGGTTCTGAGCTCTGGTCTCAGGAAAAGTAAATCAAGCAAAAATTTGCCCAGCCTCTATCTGGGCATTTCAAGACTTGCAGTTCCTATTTATTCAGAAGGGCAAGGAAGTGCAATTAAACATGCTAATGTCAAAAGAGATTAATACCAGACATTACTTTCCAGTAAAACTAGTTACAAATTACCAAAGGCCAAAGATGGTTGATGGACTTGGCAAAGATATTCCTGTTGCCAATTCATCAGCTTCAGGTCAGTAGTACCATCAATAAATCTGGCTCTCCAAGTCCTGAATATGCTGTGCTTGCAGGAGATCAATTGTTACCGATGTCTCACTTAGCAAATAACTTATGAAATGTTAATCAGCTGGAAATCTGGCAAATTCAATTTCATTCCACACATACTCATGGATGGCCTAACATAAGTGAAGTTGTAGCCTTCATTTTTTTTTTCTTTTTAGTTTTAGGGCAAGAAAGTCTACTGTGGATCACAAAAAAAGTTTGAGAGATGAGAAAGGGGATGCATGGCATGCGGGAACAAAATGGCTCTGTGACAGTGAATGGTTGGTTTCTTAAAACAGAGATGTCTGGGAACTGATCCATTACCTGGAGCCAGGCATGGGAAAGAGATAGTCTTCCAAGCAAGCTAAATGACAACGAAGAGTTACACAGGCAGGATGGACTAACATAAGGACATAAGAGAAGCCAATGTTGGATCAGGCCAATGGCCCATCTAGTCCAACACTCTGTCACACAGTGGCCAAAAATACCAGGTGCCATCAGGAGGTCCAGTGGTGGGGCTAGGACACTAGAAGCCCTCCCACTGTTGCCCCCCCTCAAGCACCAAGAATACAGAGCATCACTTGCCCCAGCCTGAGAGTTCTTATCTATACCTTGTGCCTAATAGCCACTGATGGACTTCTGCTCCATATGCTTATCTGATTCCCTCTTGAAGCTGTCCATGTTTGTAGCTGCCGCCACCTCCTATGGCAGTAAATTCTATGTGTTAATCACTCTTTGGTTAAGAAGTACTTCCTGTTATCTGTTCTAACCTGACTGCTCAGCAATTTCATTGAGTGCCCACAAGTTCTTATATTGTGAGAAAGGGAGAAAAGTACTTGTTTCTCAACCTGCTCTATCCCATGCATAATCTTATAAACCTCGATCATGTCACCCCTCAGCCATCGTTTCTCCAAGCTAAAGAGCCCCAAGTGTTTTAACCTTTCTTCATAGGGAAAGTGTTCCAACCCTTTTCTCATTCTAGTTGCCCTTTTCTGCACTTTTTCCAATGCTATAATATCCTTTTTGAGGTGTGGTAACCAGAACTGTACAGAGTACTCCAAATGAGGTCACACCATTGATTTATACAGGGGCATTATGATACTGGCTGATTTGTTTTCAATTCTCTTCCTAATAATCCCCAGTATAGTGTTGGCCTTTTTTATTGCAGTCGCACACTGTCTTGACATTTACATTGAGTTATCTATTACGACTCCAAGATCTTTTTCTTGGTCAGTCTCTGCCCATCAATGTGTATTTATCGTTAGGATTTCTGGCTCCAATGTGCATCACTTTGCACTTGGCCACACTGAACACCATTTGTC